AAACATTGGTCTTCATTTCAACCATTGCAATCGGTTAAACTCAGCTTTCTTTGCTGGAAATTGTTTATGATTGTTAATACCGAGTATTCTTGATGGAGGATATGATTGTAATGTAACTGGAATGTAGGCCTTCTACCATTATTGGGACGATTTAGAGACGGCATTTTAATACTGGCCTTAATAAAAACATTGGACAGCCCTAGACAGTTATCAATACCGTGGTTAAAAGTGTACTTCTATAAGCCCAGGTAATTAATTATTTACTTATTATTACGGCTGTAACTGGAATAGTATTTAATGATATACAACTTTTCACATTTCATAAATTATATGTTAGTTTTGCTATGGTCAAAGGTCCAAATCCAAATGTTCTTTTCTTTTGGTCTGTATGTAGTAATTTGCTAGTATCATTGACTTTATATAAAGTCAATGCTAGAATACTGTAGATGGTTTGTTAAGACCTTAATATGCAAGCATTTTTTAAATCGTTTCCCCGTTTAACCAACTATTCCAAAAAATAAAAAATAAAAAATGGTACAACACAAATAAATAAACCAATCACCTACCCATAACCTACACTTTACCTACCTAATCTAACTTTACTTCAAAACACTTAATGTAGTCACGAATACTCATAAACCCCGACCTACCTTCTCCACATGCCTAAATTAGATCAGTGTTCAATCTGCGTTTTATTAATAAGTAACTTACTGTATCGTCGATGTAGTTCAACATAATATAACCATTGAGATATTATCGGATTAAATATCGATTTCGATGCGGTTCGATATATCGCTTATTTAATCCTTATTTCTAACATTGACTGTTTCTAATCAGCTGGCAACACAAATAGGTGCCCAAGAGTAAGTAGTCACTGCGATATGCTCCGCGCATTGAGAAATTAGTTCCGTCTATTTTCGCAATTTGTAGTGGATTCCGTGCCTTAAAAAAAATGTTTTAATGGTATTTTCTTGTTTATTAAGATCATATGAATGATTTAAAAACGTTTAAAAGAAAAGTCTAGAAAGTTCAGAAATACCTTATGATTCTCTTGTTTACATTTTTCTTGTAAACAAAAAACTGTCATATGGCTACTTTAGTCCCATAAGCCTAATGTTAAAAATTGGAAATTTTAAGTTCGTTTTAAATTGCATTAGCATTATCTAATTGAAATTTGTTTGTTTAAAAACCATCTCACTATTAGTCTAAGTAATTTTGTTAAGTTTGGCTGAAATGCGTTCAGCCGTTATTGAGTGATGTTTCTCTATTTGTTGCATTGAAGTTGATCCCAAAGAGCTTCGCTCGCTTCGCTCGCTCCGCTCAATTATCTTTTAATGTTCGTACTGAGGATTTTGTATAAATTTCCTGTACAGAATTAAAGCTAGGAATTGTCCAAAAACTGTTTTTGTGTTCCCTGACGTTATTCAAGTTTATATTAACTTCCCGTCTGTGGACGGTTATCATTGTTTATTAGAAGCAAACTACTTTTTGCCGAGAATAATTTAAAGAGCTATGATAAAACACATCATAAAAAGTTAATTCTAAACAGTTTATTTAAGACAACTAAACAATGATTCCAATGTATTTTACAGACTTCATGAAAATAAATCATGAGCTTACCAAAGAGTTAAGGGTAGGTTGTGGTTGTTTTAGCAATTGCATGTTTGGGATTCGCCAGTGATTAGTGTTAGGGAGAGCACATGGGGCTTGGCGACTATATAGGGGAGACCCAGACTAACTAGTGTATTTATAAAACTAAACACTAAATATATTATCATTTGATTATGATCAATCAGTTCGAATGAAGGGTTGAATCAAATAATAATGAGTTATAATTTACCACTCTTTCATCTATTTTTTATGTGTTTTATTTAAGCAACGCTGTAAAAAGTCAAGAAATAATTTGCAATGATTTGCAATAAAAATGACCATCGAAAACGCAGCATTATTTCGATGTTCCGCCATTTTACGATTGGAATGAATCAAGTAGAACTCTGGGTGTTATTTTATTTTTTTTCACAAATATTTGTTAGCCTATGTAGGTATTCAAGTTACTAACATGTTTGATAAATCTGGCTTATGATTTCAAAATAATAACACCTTCGTGGGTGTTAATTTCTAGGAATTATTAAATACTATAAATTATTAATTACTAGTTAAATATTGTAGTTTAATTCAAAATTCATCAAAAATCTTAATCATTGGCAACAATGTGTAACAAAACGTTGTATGTTTTATTGCAAATAACTGACAAAACATTCAAATTGAACAAAAATCATGACACATGAACCTATACAGTATTCCGAACTAATATTTAATTTCCTTTTTACATAGAAAATTTGAATACTTCGGTGTCACGAAAGCTCAGTAAAGCTTGGCATGGGTTTGGGTTGGTTTGGTCTATACATCTAGGTATGGGGTGTGCGGTAGTTACCATACTTTTGCCCAATTGACTTTTTAAAATATTGGGCCTGGAACCTAATTTGTGCATTATTTAATTCGCTGACCAAGGATGAAGAGAAGCAACACTTAAAAAATAAATTTCTGAGTAACAATAATGTCGTTTTATTATTATCTTATCAGTTTATTTAGTTTTTTCCAAGATATTGAATAATTTATTGTAGATGGCAAACAGAAAATGTAACTGTATTGAAAGAACAGAATCGGTTAGCCTCTTGGAAATCCTTCTTTGTTCTGTTTGTGTTGGAAAATTAAATTACAACAGAGTAAATTAGATGAAGGAGGGAAATCGCTCTCCTAGGAAATGTCTCTGAACAGAGTTTTTGAAATGGATTTAAATTTTAATTCAATAAGTGTTTGCAAAATTAAACACCGCAGTACCGCTTATTTTTTATGTTGTTGAAAATGTATTACGTGGTTGTTGTTACGCTTAACTTAAAATTCTTACATTTCAGTTCTCGATTGTGCAGTATTGTTCAAACATTAAATATTCTGAATTTAATATGGGCTAAAATTAAAAATATCGACGTGCAACAGTTTGGGAGTAATATAGGACAAACCCAAATATAAACCGGATGTTCTGTAATCACAGACAATTTTGGTTTCAACCTCATATAAATTATAACCTCAAAACTTAAAACCCCGTAAACCCTCCAAAAAATACACCACTACTCTGTCATTTCAATTTTAATTTCAGAAAGGCTATTAAAAGTAAAATAACACTAACACCATGTCGGGGTTTTCACTGATAGTTTTAAGTCGATAGCAAACTTATGACGAAGCTTTGTAGAGGTATAGAACACGCCCACTTTAAGAAAATTAACCTCCAGTTACCACCAACGATATATTGTGCAAACCAAATTAGTATGTTCCCTAATCCCTATATATGTCTATCTCAGATTTGTGCATAATAGCTCCCAAAGGGACATGGGTGAGAGGATTATGGATAGATTTGTTTACATCTGATACGCACGAGGGGTAGGAGGGCGGTGTCTGTGTATTAGTTAGAAACGCAAAAGCCGATAAAGGATATGAGCAATCTAAATTATACAAACAATTGTTACACTTAGCCTTAGCACTAAATTTTAAAAAAATCTTTGGCTCTATGACGAATTTATGCCTCTGTTGTAAATATTGAATGTCATACATATCTGCAGTTACTTGTGTATTTAAGTTGTGTAGGACTAATGAAATAGTTATCTGAAATGTTGGTAAGGAATAATTTATTTAAAATGGTTAGTAACACACACGATACGATGTCAATAAAGTGTATGTAGTAATTATTTTCGAAGCAGAGATTAAGCTTATTGGACTATGCGTGCCCATTTAATAAATTACTAAATTGATTATTTACATTTTAATTTATCTATTAATTTAGTCATTTACAAAAATTATTCTATTATTATAATTAGGCCTAATTACAGTTTTATTGAGGTGGGAACACCACCTAGGTGCGTATTTCAACCAAAAATATTCGAGTGAAGGAGGAGTGTTAAATGGAGTGAGATGATCTGTGTACGGTTGTTGCTGACTAAAGATCATTTATTTAAGGTCCAATGATTAGGAACAGCTGTATCCAGTTTCGCCAAAATGCACGGCAACCTTTAAAAAAACCATCTTTTATAAATAGGACCCGGACAAGAGGTTTTAGGAATTGCCTTTTTGGTTTTTGTTGCCTTGAAGTTCTAGGAATGTTAAGTTGAAGTTTTGGGAATGTTAATGTTGGGGGGCGCAAGGAAGAGAAAAATTCCCTCCAAAGTAGGTGGTGAGGGTCGCACTTATATCTCGGGCCCATAGCGCATCGTGCATCATGCTAACCCCTTTTTATTTGTAGGCGAGCTCTAACGCGACCTTCATTGGAAGCGGAATTCGACGGTCTGAGCGCGGGTCTGCCGGGAACAAACCAACGAACAAACACGTGTGGCGCTGTCTCCCCTTCTACACTGGCAACGATTGTAGTACCGGAAGGGAGCATGGGTATGGTTTGAGCTTGTTGGCCTGGCCTGAGGAAGATGGGCCCACATTCTTCTGGCTTGGGTTGCAGGTCACTAGCTGTAAGAAGAGCTTATAACTTGGCAGCTTATAGTTGATTGTCTTCAAAAATGGACATACTCGATGAAAATGTAGCACCTAAGTTATAAAGTCTACCTTGAGTTTAGTTTGCGGCAGATAAATTGGTAAAGGGTAGATCATGGTATCGCCATGTCTATATGAAGTTGAAATGTCAACTGGATAGGTGTGCTTTATAGTAAAGCTATAAAGAGCTATATTTCTTTGTAGCTAGCTTAGCACCCATTCTAAGATAATATATTCTAGGGTATTAAGCACCTGAGAATTCCTTACTTAAGTTTATATTTTGTAAACGTGATTATAAGATACGGAAAGTGATTATTTAATCACCCATACTTTACATACACCTAACAAATTTAGTACTGTAGTGTGTAAGAGTTAAGTGACATTTAATACAGCCTGAATAGGCGGAGAAAAAGAGTCTGCTCCAAAATGTCATATTGCTGTTTGCTGTTTACTTTTTAGGTTATGCCCAGCCCACATACAGTTTAGTTGCAATTTGCAATAGTTTCCCTTCTCATTACTTAATAGCGTCATTTCATTGTTATTTTGTTGTTTTTTAGTATAAATCTGTGTGTATTTAGCAATGTGTCAACTCCTCTAAAAGTGTTGTTAGGTTTAACATCTAAACATGGTTATTAAACTTGATGAAGGTTCAGAACTTACCGAGCCTTTACTTTGGGGTGAATCTAATGATTGTCCAAGAAAACCTGAGAGACATGCCGAATTGATTAAAAAGATTAATGCAAAGAATGCAAAGTACGTAGCTTTCAGTCTAGTGTTGGGATTCATCTTGTATCACGGGATAATCCATCTAAGATATGGTAAGTTTGTCAACCTAATGTAGCTTACTAGTATGTAGGCCTCTACCTCACCTTGTGTTGGGATATGCTAACTGCCACAGAACAGTTGAAAGATTAAGTTATTTGAGAGAATACCCTATGGCTTATAATGCTCGTAACTTGCTCAAAACATGCAATAGGCCTAGGCCGAGATATAGGCCTAGGGTTACCATGATTTTTTGATCGTGGATTCAGATATAGGCCAAACCGAGGGTTATGAAATCCATAAACGATATGAGTAGCTTGCTCAAAGTTAAGGCTATTATTAGCTAGGCCTATCTGCCCAACTTGTTATTTTTGTATCACAATGTGTTATGTTAGATTACAATACAATTTTATCTATTAATTTTTCCTTTGGTTTATTCAGGAAGTGATTCTTGTAAATGGCTTCTATCAGACGGCAGATACAAAGGAGATATGGAGTGGCAACCATATGGCTGTATGATGCATCGATACAGCCAAACGTGAGTAATATTGTGTAGTGTTAAGTTTCTGGCTCAGTATCATTAATTACGTCTAACAGTGAGTCATAAGTCATAAGTCCAGGTAATAGTATTTATCTTTCAAAGGTCGGTTGTATGTACATCAAAGTAAAGGCCTTAAAACCCCTTTATCAGTCAATCCCAAAAATACAGAACTTAAGGTATAAAACGATGCACAATTTAGCAAAGAGGGTTTTTCATAAGTTAAGTTATAGAAATATTTACACCCTGGGCTATACAGTTTCATGCTTAAAAACAAAGGAATCCTTAGCTAAGTTATGACCTAGGGAAAGAGGGAAGAATAACTTAACCACTTACCCTCCTACAGAAAACGAGCAGATCAATCAAATTTGAACTAGAATAACTTTAACTTGCTTTCCTGTTGTTTGGCTGAAACAAGATGAAATTATTAGGTTAAGTTCCTGTATATTATGCTGAATTCCTAATAAAAAATAGCAAATTTGAACAAGTGTGGTTAATAACAATGCAACTTAGGCCTAGTTTTTCAGCGTTTTAGTTTAAGCTAAGGAACGTCTGGATCCAGACACGCCAACCATAGCATAGCGTCCTAGTTATCGTAATCAATTAACTTATGCACGTTTGGAGGTTTACAAGAAACGTACTTTTACTGTTTGTGAGTGCAACAACAGATCCATGAATGTTTTAAGCTATTTTTTAAAGTACCATACCAGCACACAGATCATGAGTGTTCACCATTACACATTAAAACACGTTAACTTGTAATGCGTCACTCTAACCTATTTCAACCAGTCATAACTGTTGCATTATTTGGCCAGGGACACTCGACGATGCATGCGCTATCTTGCGTTCTGGGGGCGACACAACCACTTTGTGTTCATTGGAGACTCCAGGGTACACCAGATGTATCTGGCATTCATAGACCATCTGACTGGCCACAAGAGTCAGCCGCAGACGACGCCTAGCAACCACAGTTTGTATGATGAACAACTGAGGCTTACGGTGGACTTCTTCTGGAGCCCTTCAGCATCGGACGTCATGGTCAACATGTTCCATCATTGGGCTGTGAGTGCATGTCATTCTGTACAATGACTGTTTTATTTTGTTAGTACGGTATTTTAAACACTAAGGCTATGGCCAGTCTTGGCGACATACATGGTGACATACATTGAATTCCACATCGTGAAAAAAGACTCACGGAGTCTTTTTATTTACTACTAAATTCTACTACATTCTACTACCAAGCTGGAGCTTGGTATGTAGAATCGAAAACGCTCACGGATGCATTATTTTTTATGTCACAGGCAGTCGGTTTGGTTGTGGCTTCTCCGTCTTATATTTGTAGTATATTGATTTAGAAAGTTTTTGGAATACAGTACATATTATCACTGGACTTCTAAGAACTGCAGTCTAGGGGTCACAAAAATCACTCAAGTACTTAATGAAAAAGGCACTGATTTTACAAGGGGATCATGAAAGTCGCTGAAAAGTAACGTGTGCATTTTAAGGTCCTGAAAGTCACAAAAAAATTGGGCCTAACTAAAATCAAGTTTTTCAGACCTAACTTTTTTTGCACCTTGCTTTGAGCAGTGATTAAACTCATAATGCAAAAGAATCATTGATAGTGAACATAATTTGGGAGCAGGCAACCAGTTCAAATAATTAAGACATAAAAGATTGTATGCCTGACTCGAGTCAATGAAGAGTATTGACTTATCTGAGTTTCAACATCGTCTTCCCGCTCCCCCATTAAAGTTACTGAGAAGTCACTGAAATTTAGTTGAACAAATTTCTGCTAGATACCCTGACCATCCTATTAAAATCTAGTAATAATGTGGGCTTGTAGCCTCCAAGGGATGGTAACCTAGGAGGCTACAAACCCACATCATTGCTGCCGTTCAAATTTGAGTCAGTGACTCATTGAAGTGTTGTAGTTATGATTGAAAAATATCATCGCAAGTAGGCAGATTTTGCCATATTTGGCTATTTCTTAGACCATCTTATAGAAAAGGGAGTACGAACATTAGTTTATCGGTTCAGTGACAGTAATGTTGTGGTTACAGAAGGCAAACCCTCCTCCTAGTATGGTGGTGGCAGGCAGCGCTGCTTGGAGTACAAAATTCACCAATTCTACTGCAAAAGCTGTAGAAGAATACACGTTCAACCTTACTCGGCTTGTTACTGTAAGTAGCCAAATCTTACAATTTACTTAAATCACATCTATTTCAAGCATAACAAAAATTGCAACGCTGTATAGTTTTCATTATCAGTGATAGTTGATGGTTTAGATTATTAGAACCATTTGACAACATATGTGGATCACCAAACAGAAGCAAAGTAAAGTAGGTTAACCCTTGATTTTTATAAAGGTTCAAATACCTGCTTTTACGCGATCCAATATTGTTGTAAGTAAACACAACTAGTTTCGGCACCTGTGAAGCACAATCATCAGGCTGTACAAGGACGAGTTTCTTTCTTCATACGAAGAGCGTCATATTGGTTAACACAAAAATAATAAATAAACATTTAACACATTGACTGCTGCTAAAAAATGACATACCCGAACCTAAAATGCTGAAAAATTTGTATTGCATAAAAACATACCTTCATATGTTGTAATTGAAGATCGGTAATCAAAAATGTCCTCCGTGGATTTTTTCTGTGAATTTCGTCATTTTGAAATCACCTTTCACCGGAGACCTGGCCGCACATGAGGGACTTTTTAGCTGTTACTGACGCACGCCGATTTGGGTGGTCGCGCCTCCACAAACTCTTTTCGCATTGTTTTTTTTTTTAAATGTTATATATATGTAATGTTTTATATCCACTACAATGTATAACAAGTGGATGTTTCAACTCTAAGTCCCACGCGCACCGTTCACGGGAGACCGGTCCAGGTTTTGGGCCGACCGAGAAACTACGGCAACCAAACACGCTACAGAGCTTTAGCTATCGATCGAACATAACCTCAAAGTGCTCGGGCGACCGGCAGAGCCACACTGACAATTCTAAATCCTGCGCAACGGAATGTGATAAACAGGACATTTAAACACTACGAGACATTTATTATCTGGAAAATTTAATACTTCAACAATTCATTTTCACTTCTATTTACCTGGGAAGATTTTGAGATAGGCTATATAAGGCAGTAAGTAAAATCCAACCACCAAAATGTGCTAAATGAGCAACTCTTTTTTCGTCTATTTTATGTATAACACTGTCATCAGTTTACTGGAGAGGGGAAGTATGATTTACAGGATGCAACCTGGGATGATAAGATAACAGGCGTACACCACTGCACTGACCAGTGGAATTCAAACTCTGCCTGGTTAGTGTCGTCTGTTTTCTTAACTGATCAGTTACCATAAACATGTCTCGTATTCGTGTTTGGGTCGTGTTTAAATATTTATTTATTATTTTCATGCTAACGAATATGACGCTCTTTGTATGAAGAAAGAAGACCGTCCTTGTAAAGCCTGATGATGGTACCGAATCTAGTTGTGTTTACAACAACATTGGATTGCCTAATAGCAGGTATTTGAACCTTTTTAAATACTAGGGTTGCTTTCAGAGAGGTGAAAGCCAGTTGAGCGGAACAAACGTGATTTGATATTTGTATAAGTAACTAAATGTAAAAATAATCAATAGATGCTGGTTTTATTGATTAAAATTATAATAATTCAGATTTGTTTTTACTACATCTTGTTATTCAGATACCTCTTCCAAAAGTGCATTATGGTAGTTTTGACCAGGAAAATATTATCAGTTTATTTGGTGCAACACAAATAAACAACTCGATCACCTACCTATAACCTACACTTTACCTCCCTAATCTAACCTTATTTCAAAACACTTAATGTAGTCACGAATACTCATAAACCCCGACCTACCTTCCCCACATGCCTAAATTAGATCAGTGTTCAATCTGCGTTTTATTAATAAGTGTAATAACTTACTGCACCGTCGATGTAATTCAACATAATATAACCTGTGATGTATTATCGGATTAAATATCGATTTCGATTCGGTTCAATATATCGCTTATTAAATCCTGATTTCTAACATTGGCTGTTTCTGATCAGCTGGCAACACAAATAGGTTCCCAAAAAAGTAGTCACTGGTCCGTATCCCTCCGCTCCTTGCATTGAGAAAGTAGTTCCGTATATTTTCTCGATTTTCAGTGAATTCCGTGCCTTAAAAAAATGTTTTAACGGCATTTTCTTGTTTATTGAAATCATAGGAATGGTTTAAAAACGTTTAAAAGAAAAGTCTAGAAAGTTCAGAAATACCTTATGGTTCTCTTGTTTGCATTTTTCTTGTAAACAAAAAACTGTCATATGGCTACTTTAGTCCCATAAGCCTAATGTTAAAATTTGGAAATTTTAAATTCGTTTTAAATTGCATTAGCATTATCTAATTGAAATTTGTTTGTTTATTAACCATCTCACTATTAGTCTAAGTAATCTTGTTAAGTTTAGCTGAAATGTCTTCTGCCGTTATTGAGTGATGTTGCTTTATTTGTTGCATTGAAGTTGATCCCAAAGAGCTTCGCTCAATTATTTGGCAATACGGAGGCTAACCTATACAATGAAGTAACCCTTAATTGGCTAAATTATGTTGTTCAGGGATCATTCTACTACGAAATAATCAGTTACCATTTTTAAGAAGATCCAGAGTGAAGAAAACCCTCATTTACCCCCTTAATCTTTCTGAGTTTGTGAAGTACTAACTGAGTTTGTGAGATGGTAGATGGAGATGGCAATCAAATAATTACACATAAATCAACAGTTTGGTTCTTGCAGTACCCTTAGGAATATAACTCTAAACGTTGGCTAATTATTCACAATCATATCAAGACTGCAACACTTCTACATAAAGTGGAGAAACAAGTCCAAATTCACTGGTTAATTCATTAAAAACAACATTAGTGTTTCAAATTCTGGCTGGCAAAAATCTCATTCTTAGTAATATATATTTAGTGTGTGTATTAGGTTACTGTAGTTGAGCCAGACAACTGCACACCACTAATAAATTTTGAGTTGCCAGCGTAAATTTCTTGATGTATCTATCGTTAAGAGATAGCCTGATCCAAATAAAGCCCTGTGTTTGGTGGAGTGATCTAACCCTCATTTGAAAACCATTTATTTGCCAGTCCACTCCCCCTCTTAATAAATGTTATCACGCTACACCTGTTGACATTTTAAATATACTTTGCGGTATGTTGTTACAGAGCATGAACACCATAATAGAAAGCAAGGGACAGGTTTTTTGGGCACTGCAGGAACCTGTCATCACAGGAGACAACGACAGAGATGAGGAGGCCAACACCCAGATAGACTTGTACAACCGGGCAGCTATGGAGGTAGGTAAAACACTCACTAAGCCTTCGGAAGTTGCTGATCACATGCACTACAATGTTTACAGGCGATACAGCAGAGTTCAGCCAAGGTGTGGTCTAGCTGTCGTCTGGTGGCTCAGACCAGATATCTGGGCAAGTCCATCTATGTTCATGACGCCCAGATGCTGCTTAACACCTACTGTAATGACCACATGAACTACAATGTTTACAGGTGATACAGCAGAGTTCAGCCAAGGTGTGGTCTAGCTGTCGTCTGGTGGCTCAGACCAGATATCTGGGCAAAGTCAAACTATGTTCATGACGCCCAGATGCTGCTTAACACCTACTGTAATGACCACATGAACTACAATGTTTACAGGTGATACAGCAGAGTTCAGCCAAGGTGTGGTCTAGCTGTCGTCTGGTGGCTCAGACCAGATATCTGGGCAAAGTCAAACTATGTTCATGACGCCCAGATGCTGCTTAACACCTACTGTAATGACCATATGAACTACAATGTTTACAGGTGATACAGCAGAGTTCAGCCAAGGTGTGGTCTAGCTGTCGTCTGGTGGCTCAGACCAGATATCTGGGCAAGTCCATCTATGTTCATGACACCCAGATGTTGCTTAACACCTACTGTAATGACCAAATGAACTACAATGTTTACAGGTGATACAGCAGAGTTCAGCCAAGGTGTGGTCTAGCTGTCGTCTGGTGGCTCAGACCAGATATCTGGACAAGTCCATCTATGTTCATGACACCCAGATGTTGCTTAACACCTACTGTAATGACCAAATGACTTCTGGTGTACCACAGGGGTCACACTTGGGACCATTCTTGTTCAGCTTGTTTGTCAATGACGTTGGGGATTCGTTGGGCTGCGAGTATCTATTATTCGCAGACGATATCAAGATCTACAAGAAAGTGTCTTCTCTACAAGATCAGCATGAACTCCAGGAAGCTCTTAATACCGTTGTCATGTGGTGCACCGATAACCTGATGGAACTTAATGCTGGAAAGTGTGTAGTTATGTCATTTGGAAGATGTCAGAACTTGCTTGTCTACGACTACACAATTCTAGGCACTCAGCTAAGGAGAGTGAATGGGGCTAGGGATCTTGGAGTGTTCATAACCCCTACTTTGGACCCAGGTGAACACATACAGAGAATATGCATGAAGGCCAATTCTGTACTGGGTTTAATTGCCCGTATTTCAAGGAGTGGTGCTTTCTCTACCAATACTTTGAAGATCTTGTATGTTTCCTTGGTGAGACCTATTCTCGAATATTGCTCCACTGTATGGTCTCCGTTCCAAGTTGGCCATATTAATTACTTGGAAATGGTTCAAAAGCGCTTCCTTCGCCTGGTTGGTGTTCGAGCAGGGATTCGCTATATGGACGTTAATACTGATCATATTGCAGCTCAACTACAATTGCTGCCGCTCTTATCAAGACGAACTGCATTGGATCTGATTTTCCTGTACAAAATTGTCAACTACCTGGTGGACTGCCCCGAGATTCTTCAGATGTTGAACTTCCGGGTCCCTCAGAGAACACGGCTACAGAACGTTTTTGCCAAGCTGCACTACCCTACCTCATACATGTACCATAGTCCTGTACCTCGCCTGATGCGTCTCGGAAACAACGCCCATCTGGAGTTCTTCGGAGTTTGTCCTACTGCCTTCAGAAGAGATGCATTTTTGAGTGTTGTGAGCCTAGCGTGTAGTGAGTCAATGTAGTGTTGCACCTTGAATTTTTATTTTTTTTTAATCATGACCATGCTTGGTCTAATTATACATCACCTCTCATTCATGTCGATCCTGTTATTGTGTTTGTCTTGGTCAGAGCTACTTATTACCATTGTATGCACTATTATTATTATTGTTATTATATCTTGTTATTATGTATCGTATGCATCTTGTGTCTCATTCTCAGTTGTATCTCTTTGCTCGTTAACCATCTGTACTTTTAGTTGCAATGCTAGCTTCTTTCTTTTTTGGTTTGTCCAGAGTCTGATTTTTACTCACTATTGTATGGCACTATTTATTAATATTATTACATGTCTTGCTATTATGATTTGTATGCATCTTGTTTCTCTTTCAGTATTATTATTATGCCTTTCGCACGTCACCTGATATCCTCTTGCATATATTTTTGTAATGCTAGCTTCTTTTGTTCATAGTCCACCTGTTACTAATTTTGTATGTTCTATTCAGTAGTATTACTATCCTTATGCATCTTGTATTCACCTATTGTATTATTTAGTATTTATTATTGCTTGTGGTATTATTTAGTATTTGTTATTGCTTGTTATCTCCCGTATGTAATGGCATTATTGTACAATGGCTTCTGCCGTGAATAAACGAATTGAATTGAATTGAATTGAATTGAATTGAAATGAACTACAATGTTTACAGGTGATACAGCAGAGTTCAGCCAAGGTGTGGTCTAGCTGTCGTCTGGTGGCTCAGACCAGATATCTGGACAAGTCCATCTATGTTCATGACACCCAGATGTTGCTTAACACCTACTGTAATGACCACATGCACTACAATGTTTACAGGTGATACAGCAGAGTTCAGCCAAGGTGTGGTCTAGCTGTCGTCTGGTGGCTCAGACCAGATATCTGGGCAAGTCCATATATGTCCATGACACCCAGATGTTGCTTAACACCTACTGTAATGACCACATGCACTACAATGTTTACAGGTGATACAGCAGAGTTCAGCCAAGGTGTGGTCTAGCTGTCGTCTGGTGGCTCAGACCAGATATCTGGGCAAGTCCATCTATGTTCATGACACCCAGATGTTGCTTAACACCTACTGTAATGACCACATGAACTACAATGATGGCACGTGCTGCAGCAGTGCTGAACCTCATACATCTCTGCAAGTTGTCACTGCTGCTGTATTTGGTGTTTGGTACGTTGTCAGACCTTATTGTCCTTAGGTCTATTATACGTTTTACTTTTAAGGTTTTTTGTGAATAGTTTTAGTTTCATTTTATAATAGAATTAAACAATAATCATTTGACTTAAATTTCTTTTTTTCATAAAAATTGCTATTACAATAATTAACAGCACAACCACAATTCCGCTGTAAAGAATGAACAGTCATTTGGGAGGCGTTGTTTGTACAAGAATGTGCATGTTTTAGCGTGTGACTGTTGCCATTAGACTTAATGTATCCTTACTTTCTGAATAGCAATTGTATTTCAAGTCAGATAAACACATGTGTCAATTTTAGTCTAAATTGAACGTATTGTTAATTATTTGATTTTACACCCCATGTTGTTGTACAGTTTGGTGCTGGCTTGTGCTATGACAGTGAAGCGTAAACTACAAGGTTCCAGAGCTGACCCACCCTCCCCTGTCTATGTGCTGAGTACCAACTTGGCCAAGCTGGGGCTGATCATGGCCTACTTCTACCTCTGTGATCGGTGAGTTAACTAAAATATATACTAGGACTTAAGATTCTTTGATTCTTTACAAGGCAGAAAAAACAGACCTTAGAAGTTTTCTTTAGTCTTAAGAGTAAGGTTCAATGGGTATTCTTGTATGTCCCTATGTCTCACAAATATGTACGTTATGACGTTGTACCAATGAAACATATTATTGTTGTCCTCTGTTAAAACTGACTACAGTACTTACATGAATTTTATAAACTTCTTAACCGTTTGTACTGTTACCTCATGAAAATGCCTGATGGAGTTGTTACAATAACGCAATTATCAAAGCTCTTGAGTTGAAGATGTTTTCTGTTCAGGACGAATTTCTTCATGAAGGAGAACAAGTATTACTCGCCTGTTAGCTTCTGGTTGCCCATTGGCTATGTGTTTGCTCTTGGTCTCTTCTTTACTGAAGATTCAAGATATACAAAAGTGCTCCACAGAGACCAAACAGACGAATGGAAAGGTGGGTTTCACTTAGCATATTTTTAACTTGACATGTATTTTTTTGTGTGCCAAAATGTTGATCAGAGTATTGGTATACACATTTTATTAAAAAAACATACAATTTTTAAACCATTTTGCAAATATTAAAGGATTAACTTGGTATTTGAGCTTAAAACAAAACAAATAAAATTAGTTGGTCGGGCAAGATAAGATTCAAGTGTTGTTGGAGGTACTAAACTGCTGGGAAAGTGTTCCTGCTACAAAGTTTTGTTAGGTTGAGGGTAAAATTTGTTCAAAATAATTATGTGAAATATGGTTAAGGTAAAATAGCAGAGTCTAAATAGGTAAAGAAAACCACATTAAAAATTGTCTGAATAAATTCTCTAATAATCCATTCGTGGTGCAAGGTTTTAGGTCCCTCTTAGTCATTATTTGATTGTAGCATGAAGGTATTAAGGTTAATTTTATGTTCACTTTAATGAAGCTTAAGTGTCGAACCAAAAAATTCTAAAATAACCCTTAGAGCATCACATTATCTTGTAGACTCTGATTCTTGGCCATCTTTTTTGCTACAGTTTTCTCTGTTACTTCTGGAAATTAAAAGTATGTTGAGTTGTAACAAAATATATTAAAGACCTATGTTTTTCCAGGCTGGATGATTCTGGTCTATCTCATTTACAACATGACCGGAGCCTCTACAAACCTGCAGATCTACAACCACATCAGAGTCCTCATATCAGCTTATCTGTTCATCAGCGGCTACGGTCACTTCTACTATTTGTGGCACAGAAACGACGCTGGAATTGTTAGGTTCTTTCAGGTGAGGTTTCCATATATATTTCAGGGTTACCACAGTAAGGATTTTTATTCGTTGATTATCCTAGTGTGTTTGCGTAATAGAAATCTAATCTAATCTAAACCAGGTTCAAGGTGGGCAATAAATGCAACAATGCGTCAGAGAACTGTAGCAAAAGTGCAGTTAGAAATAAGTCGTCATCACCTGCGAAAGCTGTAAAATCCTGAATATCTTCTGCAATAGCCAAATAATCATGATCATCTTACGCATTTGCGTACAATGTTTTATTGTAAGTTTTTGATTGCACAAAATGCAACAAATTGTCAGTAGCGCCACGCATTTTGGACCCAAGGCAGCAATGTTGTGGGTTCGGATCTTGGTACCACTTTTATCAGTACTGTATCGGCTCACCACTTTCTTTGCTGGATACGTTCCATACACAAGTCCAGAGCCTTTGATGCAAGGTTAAATGAGGAAGACACTCTTTTTACCAGGATCCAAAAAAATGGAACTGCAGCTTTAACCCTGACTAACCCAGCTGTGAATGTTGTTCTAACAAGTGTTGTTGTTCCCAGGTGTTGTTCCGCCTCAACATGCTGGTAGTGGTGCTATGCCTCTGTATGAACCGACCGTACCAGTTCTACCAGTTTGTGCCGGTCGTGTCGTTCTGGTTCACCCTGCTCTACCTGGTGTTGATCGCTCCACCCAGGGTCACACAGGCCTCGTGTGAACACAACCACCTCCACTACCTCTACCTGGTGCTCAAGTTTGTCGGACTTTTCAGCTTCATTATCATGTTATACATGAGCGAGGTGAGCGTTTGCAAAATTAATGTATGTAAAAACAAAAACTCCGTTTATACTCAGGATAATGTTGTGAGCAGATAGGAGGGTGATTAAATTGCTCTATCAAAAGTATCTGATGTTTGGGTGTCACTAGCAGCATAGCGTGTTTGGCCTCTGGGGACATCAAAATGAAAATTGAAAGCAGTCTCGGGTCTAGTTCTTCCTGTACTGCCTACAGTAATAACTTCTTCCCTATAGGAAAAATTTTCCAGAATAGAATTTGCTACCATCATACTCATGTAAAAACCCTTTGACTAAGAATTATCCAACAACAGCTCTGTGTCTGCATATATTTTTTTCTTTTGACTTATTTGATTTCCTTGACAGGTATTTTTTGACAAAGTATTTGTGACAAGACCGTGGAAGGCGCTGTTTGTCACCACTGATGATGACATCCACGATTGGTGGTTCCGATGGAAGCTGGACAGATACAGGTAACCTTAGAAACATTGTTAGTCCGGAAATACCAAACTAACTCTAAACTACTTTTTACTTTCCCCCCCTCTATATGGGAAAAATGTTTTTTTTAATCTTTCAGTTTGAGTTTTGGGTGGAAATATCCGTTTTGGGCCCTGAACCCAAAACAATTTTTTTTTTTTTTTAATTCTGTGTGGGTGTGTACAGAGCTGCTGATTTACACCTGTGGTACAATTTTTATGAAATGTGATATGTAAGTAGAATACTAATCGATTGTGTATCCAGTAGGGCTGGACGGGTCCCGAAATTTCGGGAATTTTTCGGGAAAAAAATATTCCCGATTATCGGGACGGGATTACATTTGACTCGGGAATTTTTCGGGACGGGATTTGGTCCGATCGTCGGCGATTTTTCCGCTTCGCGAGTGACGATAACGCCGTTATTGCGAGCGATAGGTCCGCGAACGCAGGAGACGAAGTCATTTCGACGATTACGCCGTGACCGCGGAGTCATAACGACGATCGCGCCGTGACCGCGAAGTCCTACCGACGATCGCGCTGTGACCACGAGTCATACCGACGATCACGCCGTGACCGCGAGTCATATCGACGATCACGCCGTGACCGCGGAGTCCTACCGACGATCGCGCCGTGACCGTGGAGTCATACTGACGATCATGCCATGATGGCGAGTCATACTGACGATCATGCCGTGATGGCGGAGTCATGCTGACGATCGAGCCGTGATCGCGAGTCAAACCGACGATCATGCCGTGACCGCGAGTCATACCGACTATAACCCCGTGACCGCGGAGTCATACCGACTATAACCCCGTGACCGCGGAGTCATACCGTAGATCGCGCCGTGACCGCGAGTCATGACGACGATCGCGCCTTGACCGTGGAGTCATACCGACGATAACCCCGTGACCGCGGAGTCATACCAACGATCGCGCCGTGACCGCGAGTCATGACGACGATCGCGCCGTGACCGTGGAGTCATACCGACGATAACCCCGTGACCGCGGAGTCATGACGACGATCGCGCCGTGACCGTGAGTCATACAGACGATCACTCCGTGACCCGCGAGTCACAAGTTTCTATAGGTACCTGTAAATTGTTACCCATTTTTTTGTTTTTATAGATCAGTGCCACCACAAATGGTAAAAATTTATTTTGTATGTCTATTTTGGTAACTGCAATACAGTACTTTCTTTTTATGCACAGAAAAAAATCCCGTCCCGTCCCGTCCCGAAAATTGGGAAGGAAATAAAAATCCCGTCCCGTCCCGTCCCGAACTAAAAATTCAATCCCGTCCATCCCTAGTATCCAGGCTTTATTTTTCAATACTTTTACATGCTGATTTACCCATAAAACCCCATAAAATAATGTAAAACCAAGATATTTAAAAAGACGGTTGATTAAAATTTAGTATGTTTCCTTTTAGCTAATCCCTACTTGAAACAGGTGATAAATGTCAATATTTAGTTACGCACGGTCACTACGGCATTATCTTGCTGTCGTTAATAATGGTAACAGCACATAAATCGGCTTCACACCACTGAAATCATCACACCAGAAATATGAATCTGAGCCTCCCTCAAACCTACTCCTCATGAAGAAAGGTCTTGAACTTGTTTGAATAATGAAAAGGGGGGAATACCGTGCCAAAGAATATTGAAATCTTTTGTTAATAGATGCTCAGTACAGTGCTAATCTCAACCGGCCGATTTATGATTTACACATTTTAATTTCCATTTCAAAATTTACTCTAAAAATGTTGTTATTAATACTTTACTATTATCATTTTCAAAATTCATGTTTTCGGCCCCTGGACTATATTGTTAAGACAATAATAGGTTTTTTACATACCTCAGTCAAATAGTCCAAAAATGGTATTGCTCAACAGCTTACATGTTTCGTTGCGAAGACAACATTATCAAAGCTTGCAACTCGTCAAAAACACATTTAAAACACAAACACGAACACAGAAGACATTAATACGGTACGAATACACAATTGACATTTAGATAGCGCTATCATAATACTGATTTGGTCCGGCGCGGCGCGGGGCTGGTAGCAGACTGGAGGTCACGTAACGTCGTCTCCTCTACTGTTATCACTGATGTTATCAGATCTTCGATCAGCTGTTCCTGAGTTTAATATTGTATTAAAAATCGAGTGAGACTGGAACTGTAATTTTTCGTTAAGGATGTGGTCCTTACACTGTTCGTCATTATAAATTTTATAAATCTCGAACTCCTCCAAGGTGTCAAGTTTGCTACCTTTCCCACAGACATGTAGAATCCCACAGAACAATGTAGTCCCACAGAACATGTAAGTTGTTGAGCAATACCATTTTTTGACTATTTGACTGAGGTATGTAAAAAACCTATTATTGTCTATTATCATTTTATCCAAATTAAACAAATAATTTGAATCATACCTATTCCACTATTATAACCCTTGTGTTACATAGAAAATGTTAACAGATGTAATCTCTTTCATTGACCACCTCTGTTGCAGCACTTCCTACGGAGCAGTGTTTGGCATGCTGTTGCTGGTAGCGCAGAGTTTCAGCCTAGTAGATGACAACAACCACAGCAACCTGTTCACTTCTCGTATTGCGCTTTGTTCCGTGTTCCTCGCCTTTGTCGGCATCGGCTGCTCCACCACGTTTGATCTCCTCTGTCAGTCCAAGGCGGAGTGTAACGAAGTACATTCCTACACTGTCGCCATCCCTGTGAGTATCTCAGCTGTCACAGCATGACCAGTTGTTGCGGGTTTAAGTTGAATCATCAGGAATCAAAGTAAGGATAAAGTGCTGCCGGAACAAGATCCTGCCTGCATGTGTTTGAGTTTCTTATTTGTAAAGGGGAAGAATGGTCAATCCCAGATCTAAACAACCTGTACCTTACCTCATAAAAATATAAAAATTGTTCTTTTTTCTTTTTGATGGAGTAGGGTAGAAAATGTTTCAATCAAATCACACGCTTTGGTAATTCAATGAGCTTTGGTCAGGAATGGATAAATAAATATTAATACTTTAATAGTTTGACGGATGTAGATTTTATTACTAATTGCTATACAAGACAAACAAATTCGATCAACATTCAGGGCACCCCGTTTTGTTTATTTAATACTTTTCCACAGTATTGACAGTAAATTAAACATGTTCCCATAAACTATCCATTTAGACCAGTCATACTGTCAACAACAGGAGCAAACGGAGATATCCTGTCTTTAAGACAGATGGTCTTCAATTGGAGCTTATGTGACTATTCAACATCAATAATCAATGTAAAATTTTTATGCACACGTAAATAGATTAACAATCTTGTAAATTATTATGGTAGAAGTGTAAATATATCAAAGCATTGATAGAAGACCTTTTGCATCCACACATGTTTCAAAGTCACTCATCGTATATATGTAATGTTCAGATTGTGAGTTACATCTTCCTGCGTAATGTGTCGGGCATCCTGCGAACGAGATACTCCAGCTTCTTCGCGTGGTTCGGACGACTGTCGCTGGAGCTGATGGTGACTCCGTATCACGTGTGGTTGGCCGCAGACAATCACGGGGTGCTGGTGCTGCTACCTGGCTATCCTGTACTCAACGTGTTGGTATCTTGCTACATCATGGTGTGCATAACGCATGAGGTCTGTATAAAGTTCGCTAAATTGTCAGTACCATATACTTTAGTCCTGTGTTTTTTTTTATTTATTACTGTACTTGTGGTTTTTTAATCTATGGAACTGTCCAAGACTTAGATCTATCGTCAACCTTTTGTTTAGTTTGTTAGCATCATTAATTTACAGCCCAATGACAAATAGAATTGGGATCCAGAATCAATGGTGATCAATATTGAACTCCGCTTCATAATTTAGGCCTATCTTTTAGATTTCTTTACCTATAACTGTGTTTTAAACTATTTTTTTTTAACATTTTTTTAACCTTGCATTTTCCTGTCCACATACGCTACACACCTGTGCGTGGAATGTTTCCAGCAAAGCAAGGGGTGAACAGGTACAGAACAAGAGTGATATGTACAGATAATAAATAGTGTCATGTGCCACAATCGGAACCCATGACATTGCTGCCTTGGGCCCACTGAACCACTGACTCACCCACCACATTGTTTACTTACTTCACTGCACTAGTGTGGTAAAGTAACAGACCAATGGTGTTAAAGATTCAGAGAGATGAAATCAAATTGTAATGCTTCAAACGCCAACTTATCAGCTGGTAATGACCAACTAGCGATCCTGGCGTACGTAATCGTGCGCAATCTAGACCTAGGAGAAGAAGCATTTTTATTGATCTTCTTTATTTGACGTTTTCTGGTTTCTTGGTTTTGTTGTTAAAGGTGGAGATGGTTAAAGGCCTAATTAAGTTTGCAGTTTACGTGCTGTGTTTGCAGTTTTTTTTTTGAAAGTCAATAAAAGATTATCTTTTGACTAAATAGATGATAGCCTAAATGATCAACCAAAGCCCCTCGTTCCCATCACCACCTCTTAAGCCTGCGACTTATTTTCCAGGCCGATTTCCCAGGAATAATCTTCTTTCTTCTCTGGCTTTGGCCACACCACTCAATCCTCGTCCCAGTCACAATATGTGTCAAAACCCTAAGGGCATGGCTCCCTTCCTCTTTCTGCCCTGAGCGATAGGGATCATTGGGATTCACTCTAACCTTTCATCTCACCTTCATGGGGAAGTTTTCATTTGTTTCTTTTTTTCAATTTAAAAGCCTGTGCGTATCCTTGGCTGCCTATTTATCTATCTACTTCCCTAAATGTCTCAATCGTTTCCTTTTCTCTCATAAAGTCTTACTTTCTCATCTCCAGATCTTTCCTATCCAAGACCTCTTCCTGTTCTCTCCTATTTAAACCCAACACGGATGGTGCTTGCTGTAGTATTATTTGTATTTCGTTCACGTCTACCAGTTAAAGTTAGTCAGCCTCCTATTGGCCGTCCTGCTCGACGTCTTATAGTCTCCATTATGTTGAACGTTTTTTTGGTTATGTTATGATTAGGCTATGTGCAAATAAAAACTGGCTTAAAACTTTCTTAAAACAGTGAAACAATCTTTTCAACTAATCTAATAAATCCTTATAGCACATTTCTCCAATTTTAGTATAACCAGCTGTTTCAAATATTAGTAACAATTTCAAAGTATTCATCTGTTCAAATGTAAACAAACATTTTCTCCCTAAGAATAACATGAGAACTTTGAAGGTCACTGGGGCAGAGCCCTGATGGAACTCCAAAGTTTTTTTGTTTGATGGCAAAACTACATGCTAAGACCTTTCTAATGACACCTTGGACATGGTGATCAGTAGCACCACCACTCCAAAACAATTATGACAAAAATATGCCTAGCGTATTAAATATATAGATGTAATTGTTGATTGGCCAATTTCCGTTGGATAATTCTCATTCTATCCTTTACCAAAGATGAACTAAACGATATGTTTAGTTAACCAAAATTAGCAGGAAGGGGGCTCAAACAGTTTGTGGTGATCTTTTACCAAAGGAAAAGAAAGTTTGTTCTAAATCAAAGAAATGTTACAATGAATTTGGAAAGCTTAATTTTAGGTTTATGAGATTTGTTCTTGGAGTACAAGGATTATCTAAATTGAAAAAAGTCCATCCTGGCACAAGATACGAAAAAATCACTTTGTACACTTTTACTGGAGTTTTTTTTTTCCACCGAGGGAGAAATAAGCCTGTAAGTACTTCTTGAAATATCAGTAACTTTTCTTTTGCCTTGGTAGAGTTTGTTCAATGTAGGTCAGACAAAAACTTGTAATTTGTGTGTTGTCGACAGCTCCACGCCATCACCAGAAGACTGTTGCCCTTTGCTGTTCCCAATGACTGGAGACTTGTGTTGCGCAATGTTGGACTGTTCCTCATGGTTCTCATCCCCATTGGAATACATGACGGAATGTTCTAGTCAAGGTAATAAAAAAACTTACGTAACTTGTTCTTGCTTAACTTCTACATTGGCTTTTTTATCAACTTTCACATTACAGTAGACCCCCTCTTAACTGACCGGACCTAGGTCGGATAACTCAAAAGGTTGGTTAAAACAGACAATCCCTAAAAAAAAAAACATAACATGATTAATTGCTGTTCATTTGGAATTGTATAAGCAATATTTTGAAGTCGTACTTGCACTATTTATAAAATAAACTACATTTATCTTGTGTTTTTTGTATTGATAAAAAAGTCACAAATAAACACAAAACACGGTTACGTCAATTATTACTTTCAGTGGAATAAATTATAGTTGTAGGCAAGAGTCGATAAAAATCCTTATTTTTAATAACTTAAGTAGCTGTCAAATCTATCGTAATACAATACAGAATATTTTGTCAAAATTAAAGATACAAGCAACCATTTTGTTACGAGACAAGGATGTTCATTAATAGCCTCTCACTGGAGGCTCGAGTCACAAAAACTATCTTGACCTTGAAGTTGTTAACTCCCCCTGCCCTCCCTTCAAGTTGCGTTGTTTGTTTACTCTAGCAATAGGATAATCAGTTATAAAAATCGTAACACACTTTACAATTTTATAAATTTACCGCACATAACAAATCAGATGTGCTCACGCTACAACAATGATGACAAACTGGCAATATGGAATTTTTTTGGGATAGGCCTAAATAAAAAATGTTTTATCTTAGTCACATCCTGTTGAGATAAGCGTTTGGTTCCCATCACCGAGCGTGGGAGCGGAAATGCCGAGATTCATAGAAAGCGGCGGTTTAACCGAACTGCTCTCAAAGCAAGGTTGATTAAAAAAAACTGTAATATTTTACGATCAAGGGTGGATAATCCGATTATCGGTTAATGCAAGGTCGGTTAAGAGGGGGTCTACTTACTTTAGGCTCAACCTTAGGGTGGAGGTGGTGATTTGGCAGATTTGAACCTGGCACCTCAGGGAGTATCTACAGTCCTGTAGTCATGTGCTCTACCACTAGATTAGTTCGCTCCCCTCTACATTTAGATTAGACCATGAGAATATAGTCTAGGAGAAACTAATACTAATTTTTTAGTAGGAACGGATGCATGTATCATCTATTTAATCGTGTCAAAATTGGCTTGACTGCCGACCGTTTTCAGACACAGTGTTTGGACACATTGCTTGTGAGACAGAGGAAATCATGAATTTAAGAATATGCAAGCAACATTTTTCATTGGACACTTTTATTCTTAAGTATTTATTTAGCTATCTAAGGTATTGGTATTACTGAGAACATTTTCTATAATCACTAGTAAAAATCAGGATTCCCCCAGTGATCGAGATCTATTTGGAGTCTTCATTTTTAGAGTAGGCTTATTTATTTAAAGTATAAAAACGGTTTGATTGGGGTCTGTTGTAATTTAGATAATAAGATAAGTAGATTTATCAAACGTCAGTTAATTTTGATTCAGCACGGTCTAAGATAATTTTGATAATTTTGTTTGTAAATTACCACCTAAGTATCTTGTAAAATTATGCTAACCTTGTCATACATTTTCTTATCTTCTCTTACTTGCCTTCTTATGAACTAAACCTCTTCTTATATTAATAAGGAAGGTTAACCTTCTTATATTAATGTGTTCCAGATGACTCGTGTTCCCAGAACATAAAACCAAATACATGCGCCAGGTAGAAGTATTGACAACTTGGCAACAGATCTCACAAAATAGGCAGTAATGCCTTATTGACTTACCGTCCAGTTGCGGCTTGGTATTTGCTGTGTGTTTGTCTTAATGAGTTGTACGCTTGTATTTTAGGAAAATTCTGGCAAATTATGCCTTGTATTTCGCAAGATTTGAGTGTTCATGACTTATTTGCCCTTCTCCATTTCCCAAGAGCGTCAAGACATATAGTAGCTCAGCTAAAAATATACCTACATGAAGTAGATAAGATAGATCCGATTGGTTTTTTTTATTCAATCAATTGGCGAATTAGAAAATGGTGTTCAGTATTTTTCCCAAACGGAAACTAGTTCAAATGACTCTTTATTTATAAAAAAGTACATTTCAAAAAGGCTGAATAGGCCGACTCCTTTAATTATGCATTTGCTTTAATTATGCGTGCTTACCCCATGGGTCTCAGGCCTGTGTTAAGCAATTAATGAGTTGGATTGGTAAAAACTTTTAACACATTAATCAAAACAATGTTATGGTCTTACTATGCCTTCTGATAAGACCTGGACTCGGGACCGATTTACTTTTACCACGTTTTGATGTCCCCAGAGGCCAAAGACACTATCCATTCAAATTCATTTTTATATGTGTCTGTTAGCATGATAACTCTAGTAAAAATCATCCAATTTTTCATTCCTTGAAAAGGTGTAAACCTACATAATTTTATTCTAACAAGTTCGCGAACCAGCATGATCGGACTATAGGAACAGAGTTTTAGGGAGCAAAAGTTGGTTTTTCCATTTTTGACCCCTGAAACATAAAGTTTTGCAACTATTTAGTAGGGCTAAAAAACCAAACAATATAGTAGGCCTACATTAAACCATTGTTGTATGCCTAGTAGTAACAGAGAAAATTTAAAAAACTGTAAATAAAAATTTCAGATGTTATTTTGATTGAGACTAAATAAATTCACGGGGATCTCGAGTAGTCCTTAATCCTATCCCTTACTGGTATAATCCTAGAGCCAAGCCAAGAAAGAAATCTTCTTTTACCTTTTAATGTTTAGGTAGATAATAGGGTTAATTGAATTCAAGTTAGAAAGCAGAGTTACAATATTGCTCACCACTGATAAAGCTGTCCATGTATTTTACGTTAAAGCAATTAAATTATGTACCTTCAACATTTTTTTTATGTTATAATTTACACATATATATCCATGTTTGATGTGTATCTTTGTAAATGTGTGTTTTAAACAACTTGGATCACAAGCTAAGCAAAGTCTAGAAGAACTTGAAACCGTTGTATGATTTGAAATTGTTTAGAAGTGTTTAACCATACCAAATGGATACAGAAGTTCAAAATGTTATTTTTTACAAGATCATTGTAAGAACACTTTGTTCTCCAGTTACTAGTCTTTCCAATCCTCTGATCCGTTTATATCCACTCTATTAAATAATCATGATCAGTGCTCGATATCCACAAAAATGAGGTGCCAGAACTGTTTAACCTATTTAATGTGATTTGTACCTATTTATTTACCTATTTATGCCAATATATATATGTGTCTAAAAGAGTACATGCACTAAGAGCACGGGTACTGTAACTCTGTTCCGCGTTGTGTTGCTCTGTGCTGTTGTGCGTTGTTCCGCGTGCTGTTGTAGGTGTTCTCCCACAAATCACTGATCATGATAGTAATAGTTGTGGGGGTTATCAGGGTGTCCACATTCTGGAAAGTCAGGGATAGTCATGGAAAGTCATGGAAAAAAATTTTGGTCATTGAAAGTCAGGGAAATAGGCAAGAAGTCATGGAAAGTCATGGAAATATCCAATTATGGATGGATTTGAGGGGACCATTCAATGCTCTAGTCAGCTGTAACCCGGACTGTTGTAGCATTTTTCAGTATTTTTCACAAATGTTCCACAATTCAATTCATTACAGTTGTATTATTTTATGAGTTTTCGGTTTGTTTTAGTTCATTGTTGTACCTATTGTACTCCATCGTTATCTGTTATTACATATTTTAGTATTCTCTGTAAAATAACATGTCCAGGCAGTATTATTTGTGTGTGTATGTTATATAATAATTTGCGTGTAAAGTTCGTGAGTCATGGAAATCAATTGTAAATGGTCATGGATAGTCATGGAAAGTCATGGAAATTAATGAAAAAATTGTTGTGGACACCCTGGTTATGTTTTCTTTTCAGTAATACATTCCAGTCTCTCTTTATGTTAAAGTTTAAGAAAATGGTTGTTTGTTGTAAGAAAGGCAACGATTTAGGCCTCGGTACACAATGCATGCTTAAATAAAACAGATTTTTAAGCATAGTGTTTTTGTGGTTTTAGCTTCTAATATTTATATGATCAAATACATTGTGATACTTTTAACTTTAAGCTTAGAAATACGATTTTGTAACAGTTTTAAGGATTGATTTGAAAATAAATGGATAGTTTATTACCCGTATTATCTTTGGTGTTTTTTCCAATCCTGTAAATTTGTAAGTTATAGGATAGAATGTGACTAGTGAAGTTGAAAGTGTTTTTCTCTGACAGGTTTAAAATAACTGATTTTTAATCTCTTATTAATTTGCAAGAACTTGCACTTTTATTTGAACGTGTTGCTAGCCTAGTGCTTAGCGTCTCAGACTTCGATGAGGAAGTAAAGAGTTTAATTCCACAATCCATATGGGTTTGGAATGCTTTCCCTAATAGTGTTATTTGGGCCACTTGTGTCGACATCAAAAATAGAAAAGTGAAAGAAATATTGATCAGTCATGGCTAAAAGCACAGAAAACATACTACTATAACCCAGAATGCCAACCACATGGTAAAAACCATTAAGTGTTTTGAGAGAGCTTTGCCTGTCAATCCGTAGGCAGCGCCACCAGCGTTGCCACATGCACTCAGCATAGCAACGCTGGTGGCGCTGCCTACGGATTGACAGGCAAAGCTCTCTCAAAACACTTAATGGTTTTTACCATGCAGTTGGCATTCTGGGTTATAGTAGTATGTTTTCTGTGCTAAAAGTTAAATTGTTGAGGTCAATGAAAACGGTGGTGAATTCAGGTTAAAGTTATAATCTAAAGCCACAGAGGAGTAAATAAGTCTGAGGCTTACTAAATAGAAACTTGTCATTTGCAGAATCAACACAAAATGTAATCCACCTACAGTATTTAGTGAAATATTCTTGCACTCACACCTTAATGCTAGCCTCTGTAATATTAATGTTGTAATCTTAAATATAGATGGATGGAAAAAACACTCAGAATTAAAACCCTTTTTTGGGTTCACCTCAAAACAGATATTCCCACCCAAAACTCAAACTCAAAATTTTTGACATACAATAATACAATGCTTTCATCATACTATGTACAGACAGGGAGAGAAAGTAAAAATCGATCATACATCCAACCACACTTTGTTTGAAACTATTTTCCTCCTCAAATAAATATTAAGTACCAAACAACTATCCGTCTGTTGTGATACAAATAAATAGCTCCTGTTCGCAGCCAGCCAGCAACACGTTTTTCTTGTACGTATGATTGTGTTTCTGTACTAGCATGCACTACACAAAAACAGCAACTGAACAAGTGTCGATTTCCTAATATCATTTAGTTTTATGTTATACTGTATAGTCAATGCAATATATCTTAGTTTTTATCTTACTTATACGTTATTTATCTTAGTATTTAGTATTTATCTTACTAAGCCGACACACCAGTACTTATATACTCATTATGTATGAAGGATTAGTGGATGATAGATAATAGCTTTGTTTGGTTATGACAAGCTGGTTCTCTAGCAATCATAATTTACTAGCAGAGCCCCCTTCGTACGAGGTTGGCAAATAAGTACAGGGTGGTGCAGAGGAAACGCATGTTTTTCAATATTGAATTACTGGGACTGGGACACAATGGGTTGAAAATAATAAAAACAAGTATTAACCTTATGTCGAAAGGGCTTTTAATGCATTTTTTGAAATTACCATTTTTACGTTCGTAAAAATGTCTTTGAGAAGACGTCCTTTAGCTGGATACAAATTTGGATCTTGTTCTGAAAATTACGGACGGCTCTCCCAACATTTCATTTGGCGCGGCTTCAATTTCAAGGTCATCGAGTGTGCAATGCTTGTTGATGTACACTTTTGATTTCAAATGTCCCCTCAAAAAGAAGTCACATATCGACAGGTCGGGCGAGGGAGGGGGTTAATGGACATCACCAAATCTCGAAATAACATTTCCTGAGAACATTTGTCGAACCACTTCCATGAACGTTCTCACCGTGAGAGCTGTGGTACCATCCTGGTGAAACCAAATGTTTCTCATGTTCACTTGACGCCTTTAAAGTTCTGGACGAAGGAAGTTTTTTAACATTTCAACGTAGCAAGCTGATGTAACAAACTGCAATTCCTTCCTCTTCAAAATATAGGGTCTAACAATCCCCAACTTTTAAATGCAGCACCACACTTTTACCTTTAAACTGTGCAGAGGTCTTTGGTGTAATTCTTGTGTGTTCTCCGATGCCCAATACCGACAGATGAAAATGCGCTTCATCACTCATGATAGACTGTAGCATCGTGATCTTCCATAAACATTCCATCCATTATGCGACATTTGATTTCTCACAGATATTATTTTCCGAACTTAAATATGGTACGTAATTTTAACAACAACAACTGCATTAATAAACCTATCATTTAATACATATTTGTATTATTTTCAACCCATTGTGTCCCAGTAATTCAGTATTAAAAACATGCGTTTCCTCTGCACCACCCATTATAAAATGCTTATTGCACTTATACTCAAGCTTAGTTTTTCAATGGGAGAGGACACAGTTTGATAAAATTTGCTTCTTTAAATTTACGGTATACTATAGTATTATACATCAACCATAGCCAGCCATAATGTTCTACAACTTCACCTAAACAAATTGAGAAATAAATTATAACAAATTATAACTGAGACTCATGGCTCTACTCTGTATCGACCGTGACCGTATCGTCACAGATAACACGTCACGTAACACGTTGCGTTACGGCACAGCCACCTGTTACGGTAATGGTGTTCGGTGTTCCATCAAGAGAAGAGTAAGAGCACAGACAATATAATACTTAAATCCTTTAATGGTTAATAGGGTTTCTGTTGTCTGTGGTAAGAGACTACAGACTGACGTCACGGTCACGGCATCGGCCCGGTGCGGGTGAGGACAATGGAATAAACCATTATATTGTCTGTGGTTTAAGTCAGACTCTCAGTCAATATCTGTATTATTTATAAGCCAATCATCGGTCTCCGTTAGAGACGCGACTCTCGGCTTTCCAAAAAGTAGCTTGGTTAGAGATCTTACATTTTCTTGTGTTAATATTTAGAGTTGGCCGATATCGGTAGTCATGTACTAACTACTCAAAAATCCCTGCGAGTATCGACGGATACAAATCTTCCTTGGTTAATTACCCCGGCTCTAAATCGCAAAATTGTCCGTTGGTTTTTAATTTACAACTTGCAACTTATTTTAATGAATGCTAAATTGTTTTATTGTGCCTGAATAATTTAAGAATACAAATAAATAAATAAACCTGTATGTTCTGTAGTTCAGAGACACCTAGCGGCGACTAGGAGAACAGTCCAGTGGCACGGTGCACGGCCACGGCGGTCGTACTTCAAATGCTCACCAGAGTGCAGGTCCTGTGCCCGTGCCGTGGTTCTCTCTCTACATTACCGACCTGGCCTGCCGCCGTTTTTTGAGTATCGACTTAGATTAAACGGGAGTATGTTTAATCTATGATATCGACGTCAACTCCCTCCCCCCTGTACGAGTATATTATGTGTATTTGTCAATTTGTGTTTGAGGGAGAAAGAGAATTTCACAGAGCAGACATCTTGTGTAGAGTTGTACATGGTGAGGCAAAGAGAACGCCACAATTTGTTTTAGCTGTCACATGTTAATTGTTGCAACAACGAATGATCAGCTGTGCTTATAACATCAATTGAACTATGCCATTTTAGTAAATATTATGCCTAAGGATTTTAACACCGAGATTTTGATGTGGAAACCTATTTTAAAATAGTGATTCTTGTGCAAAAACCCAGAGATTGTTTAGACAACATTCCATCCTTGGTCAACATGGCGCTGTTCCAGATTGGAAAGCAATGGTGAATTATTTAAGATAAACACTTAAACCTTAAAAATAATCGGTGGGTGCCGCAAAAGGAATGTCAAGTAGTAAAAGGACGTCACTTGCAGGATTTTGTTCTCAAGAAATGGAAAATGGACTTTGGTAAGTTAAAATGGCAAAAGATAAGCTGTGATTTGACGTGCTATTTATATCCATAGGGCGAATATTATTGAGTTTTTACAGCTTATAAATTGGGGTGTTTTCAATGCCCCACCCTGTATAAGGTCTGTCGGCTAAGGTCCCGGTTGATATCGTAGTCTCGGCTTGTTTTTGTACCATGTAGCCTAAATACGCCTAATTCCACATTGTACCTACTTAAAATGAAGTATTCTGATTGTGAGACTAGAAAGTAAAAGCCTCAAAGAAATATTTAGGGATTGAGTTGGAAATATTATTTGGTTTACATAAAAACATGACTTTTGACTGATTTTACGTTTATTTGTATCACTTTCTGACCATTTTTGATTATGATTAGGGGCGATGAATACAAAATACAATTAAGCTAAGGGTTGTCAATTTTTATTAGTCATTATAAGTATTTGTAATAAATACTTTAAAAATAATATATTTTTACTTATTCATTAGTTATTATTGAACCGTTTTTTGATCATGTAAACTAAATTGCGGCTCAAATTACGGCTTATAACTTAAAACAAATCTTAGTTCTGAAATGGTGAATATGTATAGTTTGATACATTCAAAACTTATAACGGTTGAATGTATTGTCATAATAATTGTATAAGTGTTGCGGTGCCAGTATTGAAATTGGATAAGAAAAACTTTTTTTATAGATCTAAAATCGAAAAAAAGTAATGTAAATTTATTTTGAGAAAACATCAAAACCTGTTTATTTATTTAATTTCTCTTAAACAACTTTTGTTTGTCAGTTGAATACGTTGGCTTCAAGAACCATTTGACAAAGTGACTCAAATTTAGTGACTCAATATTAATACACACTCATTTACTCTTAGCACATTCTCTCTAAATTTACTCATTTTTATGAGCTACATGGTGCAGAATGTACACTGCGAGTAATGTTTTCTTAGTCTTAACACGCTGTAACTCCTCAACGAGTAGCTTTAGAGAACTATGCCAAGAATAAAAATGTTTTTAAATGAGATAAAATTTCTGAATAAATCATAAAATATAGAGTTTTCCGTAAGAAAAATTACAGTTGGCGGCCATATTAAAACAATGGCGGCTATAATTATTTTTTCAACTTGACCAACATTTTTTAAATAAAAAATCCAAGGCAGTTACAATTTAACATTTTTTGATATCTCTTA